TTCTATTCAAGCCATATTGAGTAGGGTTTTGTTCATTTTAAGGAAGGTTGAGTTAGAAAATGTGAGCAGGAACAGAGTTCTGGCCCAGCCCCTGCCTGTCACTGTCTCTATGTGAAGAAGGACAGTCAGAAGAGAAGACAATCTTTTACACATGGAGCCCCTCTCCACATATGGTCAGAAACTCTGATTTTTTTTTCAAAGTAATTTTCAATGTTAGTCTATTGAAGCATATCAACAAGAAACGAAACAAAAGCAAAAACAGCAACAAAGAAAGAAAGAAAGAAAGACAAAACCAATGTGGAATATTTTAATATGAGTTTTCATGGATCAAATCTAATTCCTCAAGCATAAGAGTGAGACTACATTGCAAATATTTATACATGCCTCCACCCAAAAAAGTGGTTAGTAGAGACAAGTTACAAATTATGTGAGTCAGGGTGGCATTTCACACTTTTCACACTTATGACCAAAAGAAATGAATATAAAACTGGGCTCTTAAGTCATTATTTGTCTTTAAGGTGCCACAACATTTTCTTTATTTTGTTTTTGTTTTGTTTCCTGTTGATCTGATTTTTCAAACTGAAGGAAGAAAATCTACATGTAGAAGACATTTCCTCTCGCTCTGGAAACACTGGCAGGCATGGAGAGGTATGGGGCTATACTCTGCCCCTGCCCACTCTTTTGTTAAAAATAACCTGACAAGGCCTTCAGTTGTACAGTATGGAAACCATTTTAGAAGGGCTTAGAAAGAACACAAAATGATTTCCTGTCCTTCTGCAAGCAGGCAAGGACCTTTTTCTTCAAGCAAGCCTTCCCTCAGTAACCAGCTATCTTTGTGTGATTTTTAGATAGATTAGTATGCATTAATGCTTTGATTGGATTTTTAGTGGTCCTTGTGTTTTCCATTTTTGTGTTTTCCATTTCTCAGAGTAGCATTTAAAAAAAATTGTATACTTATAAATCTTTGCCTTAATATTGCCTGTTAATGATGTAAGATGCCTCTTCACTCATTGTTCATAGTTTTAAATATTGTCTTTTAGTGATGCTAATCACCATTGTTTTCAACTTTAAATATTTCTTTCATTACTGTAATGAATAGGACCACCTTCAGTCCTTTTCAAGAAGAAAGGTGGGGTAAAAATATTTTAAATAATCAATATTAACAGTTTTAATCTTTGAACAAAACTATATGATTAGTGTGTCAGCCATCTCATGCTTTCAGATCATTTATAATATATATACAGTGGGGTCTTGACTTAAGAACGGCTTGAGTTAAGAACATTTTGACTTAAGAACCGCTCTCATAGGAAAATATTGACTTGACTTAAGTACTTAGATTTGAGTTAAGAACTGAAA